GCCCTTTATGAATAAACGTGTTGAGGTGTGTGTTTTTGTTTGTATGTATATGTACGCAAGCATGCATTGGGGAGTAGGGTGCCAAACTGGGTCTTTGACCCAGGTGACAAAAAACCTAGTTTTGGCTCTGTTAAATATGTTCTAATTTGTTTTAGAAAAGAAGACTGGAGATGTGGCTGTTCTGCAGAGAGACAATCGATATGTGTACTATCTGGTAAGAGCAGGGCACATGATAAAGGTTTGGGTACATGAACTAATTTTAGCAGGGAGATATCTGTCTGTATTAGTATTTCTGCTTCTTCATTTGTGAGTGAAAGATAAAAACACCCTTATCTTAATGACCTAATCTTGCTGCAATGCAACTTCAGCAGCAGCATTCACTTACATAGGCCTATCATTAAGAGTTCAAGTGCAAACTGTTGCAGAAATTGAAGTTGCTGTTTGAGTGGTGTGTTATTTAGTAAATTTCAGAGTAGTCTGTACCATCCAGTATTCAGATGATCACAAACAATACTTTTGCTTGAAATCTTATTTGAAAACACAAAGTGATTCAAGAAGTGGATGTATTCACATTTGTGTTATATCTGTCTGGAGCTAAGTTGGCAACTGTGCTAAATGCAATTTAGCATGATATATTTCTTCCCTTTTAAAATATCTCTTTATATATTTACATAGACAATTAGCTGTCTTCTCTTTTTGCTGTTATACTATGCTTCATTAAGAGGTTCCTGGCGGTCTTAAATTTGTTTGTTTATTCAGTTGAATCATATTCTCCAAAAACACTCAGGAGGTGAAATATTTGCTTCCTTGTTTGTAAATTGCATTTGTAATATGAAGTATGGCTGGATTATTTTGTCACATTCTTTCAAAACAGCTATTTACAAATAGGTATCAGCAGGAGTAGTATGGTTAAAATTTTGTAACAAAAAAAAGTCTTTTCAAAACATAACTTTGCAGGAGCCTTTAAAAATAAATAAATAAATAAATAAATAAAACATAAATCAGAATATTTACCTGCAGAATCTCAGTGTTTTTAACATCGCAGGGACCAGGTTTTAATGTGTGTGTGGCAGCTGTAATGCCATTTACATGTCCCACTGACACTGATGCAAATTGCAAGAACTTAGTTTTGAGACTGCAACCTGAAGGCCCAGATTTTAGCAAATTTTAACATGTCTCAGTTTGCTAGTCCAAGCAGCCAAATTAATGATCTAGATTCATGTGATCTATGGTTAGTATCAACAGTATTGGCTAAAAGTACCTAATAAATGAATGGGGCAACACAAGCCTTTAAGTGTCTACTCAGAATTATATCCCACTGAGATCACTAGTCTCGGGTAATTTTGTACAAGATTTCAGCCTAAGACTGCAATCCTAAATATGCTTACTAGACAGTGGGGCCTATTGAATTCAGTGCAACTTATTCTGAGAAGGCACGTGTCACATGGGATGTAAAGATGCCGAATCAAAAGTATGGGTAATCTGCACTTAACCTTGCACTTGCTTTCAGATTACAAAGAACAAATACTTTCATAAACCTACCTATGGCAATTTACAGAAGAGTCTGGAAGCTATGAAACTCCACTGCATGAATAATGGCGTAACTTGCATTTCTATGCCCAAGTAAGCAAATTTGATACTGGAAAATTACTGCCACATATTTTGGAATGTTCATATGATACATATATCTTATATAGTAAAATTTTATTATTCTTTGGGAAATTTCAAATGCTTTAAAATGTACAGTGGTACCTCGGGTTACAGACGCTTCAGGTTACAGACTTCGCTAACCCAGAAATAGTACCTCAGGTTAAGAACTTTGCTTCAGGATGAGAACAGAAATCGTGCAGCCGCAGCAGTGGGAGGCCCCATTAGCTAAAGTGGTACCTCAGGTTAAGAACGGTTTCAGGTTAAGAATGGACCTCCGGAACGAATTAAGTTCTTAATCAGAGGTACCACTGTACTTTTTGACTGTGGAACTGAAATGCATGGTGAAAAGCAAATTTCCACAGTAAGTCCCAAAGAGCTAGGAAACAGATAGGTCTAGTTATTCCTACCTTTTAGATATGGAAAGAATTTTGTCCTGTGTAAAAGGTAGCTACTTGAAGCATCTAAATATAGTAACTATTAGGGAGTTACTAGAATTCATTACAGTGGTACCTTGGGTTACAGATGCTTCAGGTTACAGACTCCGCTAATCCAGAAATAGTACCTCGGGTTAAGAACTTTGCTTCAGGATGAGAACAGAAATTGCGCAGTGGCAGCAGCAGGAGGCCCCATTAGCTAAAGTGGTACCTCAGGTTAAGAACAGTTTCAGATTAAGAACGGATCTCCAGAACGAATTAAGTTCTTAACCCGAGGTACCACTGTATTCTATATATATTTACAGATGACATATGTGTGAAAGAAATGACTTTTTCTACTTCGTTTAAGTTTACAGTCTAGAAATTATGGAGGAGAAAATGAATATATTTGAGGCCAAAGTATAACACTGTTTTGGAGCAGATTTATGCTTTTTGAGAAAACTCTGCTCTGACCACCTCTGAGTTGATAAAAATATTGTGGAAAACAATAGCAATTGTCAGAACCAAAGCCCGGAGTATTATATAGATGATATGCTAAGAAATCTAGACATTAGTAATATTTAGATGATCCAATAATATGTCTGTTTTAGCTTGCTAACTTTCTTGCATTTGAGTACATACTCTGCTGCAGTTTTGAGAGCAACTAGTTGTTGATTTTATTTTTTGTTGCATGTGTAAATGGATGTTTCATTCAAATCTTGATTTGGTTATTGTTCAGCGGACTTTGTGTTCTCTTTGCATGCCTGTTCCCTCCCTCTCTTTTTAGTTTATGGTGACCTCTAAACTGGGTGTAAGTACTTCCAGTTCAGATTTGGAGACATAATATGGTTTGCAGTAATAATAGTTTGCCTGATATGGATGTTATGGCATACTATCATTACTGTAAAGCAGGAAGCAAGAGGAAGCCAAAGCATGCAGAAAGAGGAGGAAATGCAGCTGCACATAGCATAGCCCATTCATGATGTCCTGACCATGATTTCTCCATGACCTCAGAACTGGGCACCAATTCATGACTGACAGATCTGGTGTATTCATTTTGTGATGCTATTTGTATGTGAGACTAGTAATAATTCTAACTGGCTTTGCTTGGGAGCAATTACAAGTATTTTGATTAAACTTTATGATGATTCTACAGAATAGCAATTTTTAGGATATTTCTCAAGGGTGAATTGGCAAGAATGAATGTGTGGGAATACTTGAGCATTCTTTATCTTCCAGGATTGGGTGCGGACTTGACCGCCTGGATTGGAATAAAGTTTCAACAGTGCTTGAAGAAGTATTTGAGGATACAGATGTTAGCATTACAGTTTATTCCCTGTAATTATTAGGGCAGTTGCTTTGTTATACTGTTGTAATCTGTGTTTGTGACTGATTTGAAAGAAGATGATGGTATGATCTTGTTTCAGTTTTCTTTACTCTTGCAGACATTTCTCACCATTATTAGTGTCCAAGTATGGACAGTGTTTTGTAGAAATTTACAATTGGATCTTTCAGGGATGTTTATCTAGCCAGCAGATGAGTGTGCTTTACTCAGCAGACAAACTTACAAATTAAAAACAAACAAACATAAAGGCTTTGCATAGATGTGTTTTGGTTAGTGTAGCACTTTCTGCTATACAATCTTGTGTTTCAGAATAATGTGAAAACTATGGGACCTCAGTGGTTAACTGTTGCAGGTCTCATATGCTCTGTTCAAAGTACTTTACTGTAATTAGATTTTCCTATTCTGTGTAAATAAAATACCTTTTCCAAGAATGAGTGAACTGTTTAATTTTGAACTAGTGTTGTATCTCCTTGTGTACATGCAAGGTCTGATATGTACATCTACTTCAGGGCTGGATTTAGGTTTGATGAGGCCCTAAGCTACTGAAGGTAATGGGGCCCTTTATATGTCCAGCTGTTCTTTGTCAACAACAAATTATCACTGTTCTTTTGTGTTGAATATATGCTATATGGTAATTTATGGACCTAATAGGTATCTAAAGCCATTTGCACATAACAAAATATGTATTTTATCAAAGTAATTGTTGAACTGAAATACAATTAAGAAGAAGTTTATCTTTTATTTTGGAAATGTACACCCATGGGTTGTTTTTTCCTTTAAATTTTTTTGGGGGGCCCAAGAGAGTGGGGGCCTAAGCTATAGCTTGTTTAGCTTATACGTAAATCCAGCACTGATCTACTTCTATTGAAATTATTGGGGTATCCTGCATATGTAAGAGCTCTGTGCGTATTGGCATACATGTGGAATTCTGGATCAGTTCCATTTAGTCCATTTGTTTCATAAACCAGGTATTGCTGAGCAGCAAAGGAACATATCAATATTAAATAACATGATTAAGCAACTATTAAAAAATACCTCTTATATATCTGACATGGGATTTTTCTAAGTCTTGCCCAAAACTCTACTTCTGCAGCTCTTGTTCTTGCCATACATGCTCAGAGCTTTCAAGGTTGCTTCTTGCAGAAAAATAAAAACTCCTATAGTATATATTAAAATAAATGTTGTTTCCCTTAGATCTGTATGTGCAATAAATATAAGAAGATAGGTATTATCCAATTAGCATATTTCATTAAATTAATGAATAGTGTGTCCCTGAAAGGATATAGGTACCAGAAGACAGAAATTGTGCAAAAATAAAGAAATGCTCTGGGAGCAAATTTTTTCTTTTCCCCATATGTTTAATGTGGAGAATCTCACTACTGTGGTCCTCTTGTTGAAATAATCAATATCCCTTTTATGCGCTCTTCACATATTTGTATCACAGAGCATTTTGCAGTACAGTGATCTTGGAAGGGAACTTGTAAATCTTTATAATCGCTTTATTAATTAAGAGGTCTATGCCAGTGGTTCCCGAACTATTTTTCTCATGGACCACGTGAAAATCTCAGAGGGTCTTGGTGAACCACTTAATATTTTTTTTGCCTGTTGTAGCTCACTGTGCTAGATGCAGTATGCATTTTAATTGTATTTTTACAGACACATCATGGGCCATCTGAATGAAGCTTGCAGAACACTGGTTCCACAGTTTGAGAACCCCCTGGTTTATGCTATTACACATTTCTCATCATATTGTAATACATTCTGTGATTCTAGACTAGAGAACCCCTTTAGGTAGATGGAAAGGTTTATGTAGGTCTACCAGAATTTTGGCACCCCTCTCTCCTATGAGCTGTTCCTTGCTTTGCTTCAGAGGTACATCAGATGTTTCCCCAAACTGGAGCTGGTATGGAAGAATGGCCATGCTGAAAAGAAGGACTCAAGCTGCCACACGTTTCTGGATTGGGACCATTGTTTTTTACCTTTGGGGCGGCAATCCTATACCACTTTACTTGAAAGTAAATTCCATTGAATGTAATGGGATTTCCTGCTGGGTAGACATGTAAGGAAGCCGACTGTTCAAACAAGTGAATCTGCAGAGTGTATAGCAAGATTTGGGCATAATTCTAAGTGAATTCTAAGTGAATTGTCAGATAGCAAGTGGCTGAATAGCAGGACCTACATATACTTATTTTATGCTCTCTTAAAGAAGATCTGAATTGATAAAAGAGTACCACATTTGCTAAACTTATTTAATTTGCATTATTGTTTTGGTAAGGAGCTCTTTGGTGTGCTTTGACTTCTTTGCTTAAAGTTTTCAGTGATGAAAAGCTTTGCACTGCAGATTGTTAACTTCATTCCATATCATAATGCTTTTTCCTCCCATGTGAGCAGCAGCACTGCAGGTTTATGTATTTCAAACAACCAAATGCCTACATGCAGCATAATAAATGTATTTTTAGTCAGCAAGGCGACATGTCAACCAGAGACTTGTGGTGTTGTTTTTCTTTTTCAAAGCAGCTCTGGAGGACTGAAGGGGGAGTCCCAGATGTCAAAGTATATCATGTTTGTCTCTCCATAGGGTTGGCAAACTTCACACACGCTGGCCCTGGGGAGAGAAAGGGAGACTTGAGTTGCTTTTCTCAAATGTACGGGGCTTTATTGCTCAAAATAATCAATGCCTCGCCAGTTTGTTCCTCTTGCATAATGGACAAAATGATATAAAATAGCTCTCCTTTAGCTTGGGGTGGGGTGTTTGCCGGATGTATTTCTTCACCCCTTGCCAAGTTCCTAGAATAAATTCCATGTGGCACATCTTGCGTTTTAGAATAAGGTTTTGTCTTAGAATGGGGTGCCTAAAATTCCTGTTGACATTTTATATGGAAGCTGGTATAGGACTTTGATTGTATACTGATGAGGTTCCAGATGAGGTTTGCTGTAAGGTCATGTGCCTGCTTTATTAGCATTTGTTTTCCATAATATTTTAATCTGTTTTCTTCAATGCCTGTTTTAAATAGATGGGATTCAAATTAATGAATCTGAACTGCAGGAAAAATAATGTCTTTTGAAGTATGCCTCTAGAACTTGTTTGTTGTATATTGTGATGTATAATATAATAAGATTACCTGTTCCAACAGAGCAGCAGATACAGCCCAGGGGATGGCGCCATAGCTTAATGGTAGAGCACATGTTTTGCATGCAGCAGGTCCCAGGGCTCCTCTTGAAAACCTATTTATTGAGCATTCATTCTGATTTGATGGCATAAAGCTAACATGGAGCTTAGGCTATGTTTGTTCTCTTTTGAACATTAGTTCTGCTTTGCTTCTGGGGTGGTTATACGACAGTGAGCATTCATCCTGAACTGCTTATAGGTGTTTATATATCTTCCCATTTCTCATTCATTCATCCAAGATTTTTCAGTGCATTTCCAACTGCAAAAAGTCTTTTTTTAATGTGGATTTGTCACATTTGGGTGACACAGTGTATTAATCCACTTTAATTGCACAAGCCTAAATTTTCAGTATGTGCTTGAATCCCTTCTGCAAAATAGTGATGGTCTGGAGGCATGCCCAGTTATAATCCCTGGCATCTCTATGTAGAGCTGGGAAAGGCTCTTATTTGAAATCTTGGAGAGCCACTGCAAGTCATTGTAGGCCAAGGTCCTCTGGCCCGCCATATGTTGTTAGATTCCAGTTCCCATAATCTCTGGCTGTTGGCTATGCTGGCTGGTGTTGTTGGGAGTGCAACAACATCTGGAGAGTCACAGGTTGAGATGGTTTGAAGCCAACTTTCTGTTCAGATGCTACACTCAGGGCACCTGCAAAAACTTCTGCCATGTGGCAGGGCAGTTGGTCTTCCACATATGCACAGGAGCTGTGTAGAGTATCTGCCATACAGAAATAGTTTTGATAGGCATCTAGACCTCTCATGGAGCTTATAGACTTTAGTATGGCTCTTCTGAAATGGGGAAAATTAAAAAAATGTCTCCAGCTCTTTGCTTTATCTTATTACATTGGATAGAACAAAATGTATTTTTTTCATGAGTTAGATGGTCTGGGAAACTACTCTAAAAAGGAGAAAGCTTTTTGAAGTTAGTTTTCAGAATTCATTACGGTACTGTACTTACTTGAACCTCAGTGCAAAACTTCAGCAAGCTTTTCTTCATAATATAGGAAGTTCTCTTGAATGTCCTCCCAGGGTGTAAATGCCTTAGGTTCCTCACCTTCCTCCTGCTCTACAAAATTCTTCCATACATACTCAAAGTCTTGAGGCTTCATGATTCTCATTTTACAGCCAGCTGCCTTCAATTTCTTCAGAGCAGCTTGGATGTCAGGCTCTTCCCACATGAAGAGACGGCCCACTACAATGGAGAGCTTCAGGTTCTTGTTCTTCTTCAGTGCCTTAGTTATCTGCTCAGCGCAGCCGACGCAGGGGCTAGAAGAGACATACCAGGTAACATTGTAGCGTAGACCAGATTCACACGTAGGCAAGATGGTATTGAAGAAGGCATCTTCTGCATGGGCTGCTGAATGTTCATCCTCCAGATAGCCCCGTAAGGTTTTTGACTCCTTGCCTTGAATCTCTATGATGTAGCACAGGAAGGTCTTGTTCCGGCCTGAACTGTATTCTACATTCTTGAACTGGAACTTGAAAAAGAAGGCTGGAAGCCGTTCCCTGTATAAAAGAGTGAAAGAAAGCCTCAGTGTTACACACCTAATAACACACAACCCCCTTCATCCATTAATTTCAGAGTTATTGGTGGTGTTAAGGTAATTTTGTAACCATGCTATTCCCTTTAAGGCCTGAGACATAGAAGAATTGGGCAATGACTAAATTTCCTGAAGATACAGTATTTAATTCCATGTTCAAGTAATTTGGAGGTTTATGGTAGAAGTTGGTGAAAAAGCTTTGGTATAACCACAAGGGAGTTGCTATTGGAACTGGGGAAAAGTTGGAGGAAATAAGTTGTCAGATGTTTCCAGCTTAGAGGGCAGGTTGTGTTTGCATCAGCTGTTTTTCAAGTAATCTGTTGCTGATATACACAAGCTAATTTCCCCTTTTGTGGTTTTAAAATGATTTGAAAGTATCTACAAACTATTGGTGAGCTATTCACCTGCCTGCTCTATTTTTCTGTATTCATTTAAATCTACTGGTTATTAAGATTTTTCGCTTCTTCCTTTACTTTTCTAGCTCCTTTCTTGTACCCAAGATGCCTCATCTTGAATTACTCTTGGTGTAATGCACGCAAGTTAGCACTTAATCCCAGTACATATTTTCTTCTCTCCCTCCATCCCATAGTGAGATTTGTACCTCAAAGAACCTTCTCTGACCTTTCTGCAGCAAGCTTAAGTTCAGACTCTGATTGACTCTATGGGTCAAGATTTGGAATCTTCCATGATAGTTGCCTTGTAGAAGCTAGTCATTCTATTGTGTGATTTTCAGCTAGCGGAAGCCAGCATGGGCTCCTGCTAGCACAACAGGGCTTCCTCCCCAATCTCCTCCTGCGTGCCCCCTTTGAGTGTGTGAGAGAACCTCCTGAACAGCGCATGGGAAGCAGAGAGGAGGATGTTCTGTCTGGCAAGCTGGAAAGCTTGCACTGACAGAACTATTGCCATAGCACTACATTGAATTTCTCCCACTGAAGTAGGAGAAGCATATCAAACCAGCTCTGTGTATGTCCATTCTTCTGTGTGGGGCTTCAACATTTCACTTTGCTCTTTTAACAGAGTATTAAGTTATATGATCTAAGTAAGTGCATCCATTTATCTCTCTCAAAGTCCCATCTTGTAAAACTGGGCTTTGCTCCACTGTATTTCCTGCCAGGTGAATTCATATTTCTGTCTATGTACCAGATGTAAGAGGCTCTTGGCCTTCAGAGGCTCAAAATGTAAATCAATCAATTTCTCTTTAAGGTGCCATTGTTTGGTTTGTTAGTTTACCACAGGAAAGACAGTACAGCATCTTTTATGGAATTGCTCAGGTTCACTGGCTTCAAAGCAAGGATAATTTAACATGCAAAATGAATGGCAATTTTTAAGGTAGCATTAGGGTATACTAGGGGTTGCAGGCTGATATGGTGGGCTTCAATTCCTATCATCTCTGATCACTACTCAAGGTGGCTGGAAGTGATTAAAGTTGTAGTCCACAATATTTGGAGAGTGCTAGATTGGCTACCACCTAGACTTTCTTGGATTTTAAGTTCCCGGTACACCCATGAAAACTGTTTGCTCATTGTGGATGCCAATATAGCTGCACTGTTTGATGTCGTGCTTATCTCTATAGTGTCTGCTATGTTCTGCCTAATTGCACATAAGTGCAGAGTGCATATTCCAGTGTGTGTGGATTCTAAACTCGGTGCTGAAAAATATCTTATACAGATCTTGCCTCAAGGCTTTGAAGCCTCTGTCCTTAGCAATCAAAAATTGTAGCAGATTGCTCGTGCCCCCTGCAGCTCTGAAACGCTTAGTTATTCATCACTGAAAGGGCAAGGGGAAAAGAAACCACACGTCCCATAAATCAGCACATACGCGCACGTCTGTGACATAGTTGCCTTTCAAGCTATCTTGTGTGCTGTTCAACTTGCCCCTAACAATAGCTGTTCTCTTCTAACCTAATAGTGATTCAGAATGCTCAAGGGACTTCTACAACACATTAAAATTCATAGTTCATTGCAGTTCTGAGGCTAGAAGGGACATAATAGCTGGCTGACTGACTTACTCCCCCAGTTTGCTATGTGAGGTTAATTATTTCTTTCTTTATTGCACATTTCTGTTCATTTAAAGAGGACTGAGCATATTATATATGTGAGTGTTGGGAAATACATATATCCACGTTTTACCAGTGAAGAAAATGAGCTATATAAATCTTACTGCATTGGATGACTCCTTGAAACTAGAAACTAGACATTTGGATATTTAAAGCTCTGTTGTAAACGTAGTTAAATCCTCTCTGTGTTACCTTGTCCCCTTACAGGAGTACTTTTTGAGTTATTCCCATGCAAGGAATACTTGTGGAAAACATTGGAATTGAAATTCCAAGTTGATTTATGAGGTAGTGCTGGTGAATTTATTGTCCTTAAGATATCTCCTTAAAAAAAATACCTCATTGATTTGCGGTTCTAATATTCAAATGCTGTGTATTCCTTCTACAAGATGAGTCTGGAAGCACTCCCTTAGATTATGGTGATGCGCAGCAACCCACTGTAATAGGCCGTATTATTTTGTTTATATAATTTTCAACCTTAACTCCATTTGTGAAATTGTCTGAGAAACTAGTAATGTAAGAGCCAGTATGATGTAAGAGTGTCAGATGATGACTTGGGGAGATCTAGGTTCAAATCACTATTCAGCTGTGAAGCGCACAATTTCTTAGCTTAACCTATTTCACAGGCTTGTTGTAAGGACAAAGCTCTGTGTGTATGGAACTGATTGAACACTATGAAGAGCCAAACAACGTGCTGCTTGCTGTCTTGAGGGACTTTGGAGCCACAGTATCAGGTATCCTCATGATCATGACAGCAGTCTGCCACTGCCAAAGAGAAGAGAGCAGGATTTGCACTTTGTGTTATTCCATCCTTTGGGCTGAAGCTATTTGTCTGATGGTTTAATTTCCATTGCAGAAGGATGCAGTGCAAATTAATGTATCTGTAGGAGTCTCATGAAATGTACATGGCAGCTTTAGGAAGAGTTAGAACACTATAGAAAGGGATAGGAGGATATTCTTAATTATAAAGATTGGTCAGATTCTCAGTGCAGGTTCCACAGCTGCTGCACCTGTTGGGGACAGCATCAAAAAAACTTGGCAAGACACTGTGAAGCTTTTCTAATCTACAAATGGCAATTGAAATGCTTGAACTGCCATGGGATAATTAGGCAGAAATGCTGGTATGTTTGGTGTTTTTAATCCCCTCATTAGCTAGATGACTGGCTTCATCAGACTGAAGCTTATAAATAAATAGGAAATTTGATCTGAGATTTCTCTTTGCAGCTGCAGGGGTTATGTTGTCTTAGAGCGCATGATATTTAAAGAATAAAAATTCTGAAGGAAAATGCCCTGCTTGTTTGGCTGCAGATATTCAAAGCTTTGATGAGACCACTGAATTCATAGTGTATCCTCTTATATTTGGTGCATGCAGACTAAGCATGTGCTTGGGTACCATCTAAGAAGGGGCACAAAAACAGATTTTTTTAAAATAAAGAATTTGACATTTGACATTTTTTTTAAAAAAAGGTAGACATCATGGGGAAAATCAGGCATTTACAGTATTAGACTTTCTTGCATCCACTCCACATTCTTCCCCCATTTTTCTGTTTTATTTTTTATTCCTTATCACCACCTAAACCAGGGGGCATAACAAAGATCAAAATAATGCAAGGAAATAAGATCCCATCATATGTTGCAATAAATCTATGTTTTATTTTTGATGTTTTTTGAGTTCTATGTACCGGTACTTGATTATATTTTTTCCTTACAGACACACACATGTGGGTGGGGGGATATGGTTTAGTATTCTTATGTTGAAATACATATGGGGGCACTAATTTTTTCAGTGCATAGGGTCTCTACCGGTTTTAATCCAGCCCTGCTTGTATTGCCTAACCTTACCCATGGAAAGCAGTTAATTGAACTTAGAACTGGTTTCAAATTTCAGCTCACTATGAACTCCTTTGATCTTAGGCAAATAATACTTTTTTACCTTCTGCTTCTCATTTGACAGAGATGAGAAGAACTTTGGAGGTACCAATTGCAGTTCATATGAATATGTCACCGGTGTATATTTTCTCTGCAAGCCTGTTTTGTTTCAAACCTATATTTAGTTCATGTTCTTAAAAAAAGTTGAAATTGAGCCTACTAAAGCCTAAAAATCAGCAACAAGAAATTCTTTGGAAAGAATGCTTAAATATTGTAATACTAAGTGGCAGTATCGCTATCTGAGCCTGTGAACACGGATGTCTCTCTGAAAGACTGGGCATGCTACAAGATAGTAGTTTAAATTATACTGGCAGAATGCCTCACCTCATGCAAAGGCATGATTCCACCTAGCAAAAGCATTACAATAAGTTACAAACAATGAGCATCTTCAGAACAGAATATGAAGGTTTTAGTATTAGGCTTTATAGCTTTGGATACATGACTTTGCTCCAGTGAACTTCTATTGCTAGTGTTTGAAGTCGTGTATATGTGATGTTGGCACAATCCACATCTAACCTGTAGCTTCCTGAGGAATGCTGCTGTTTGATGTCTTCATTCAAACCAGCTTCCATCTGTCCCAATTTGGAAATGTAAGCCACACTCCCTTGGTTAAACTGAAATCTTTACATTTTAGACAGCCGTTATGCATGTGCTGATGACAGCACACGAGCAGCTTCATGAATAGGAGTTCCGGGGTTGGGTGGGTTGCAGGCATGGGGGAAGCCAAGCAGGCAGTGGGCACCAGGTGAAGACATCCCTGCCCATCTCTGGTATGTACATCAATGAGCAAGTGCAACTTGAAACACAGCAGGGCAAAGCAGCCTTGCTACATTTTAAGCTGCTAATGTGTAAATTGCCAGAGTTCCTCGTTGTTTAGTCAAGACCTACTACCTGATCCTTTTAATTGAAGATGCCAGGAATTGAAGCTAAGACATTATGGATGCAAATGCCCTCTAGACTGCCACTGAATTACACACTATCCCTTCTCTGCACTGGAGTGGGATTACTGTGCAGATCTGTTAGAACATCTTTGGTTTGGACTAGATGGAATTGTTGGTGTTCATTCTTACAAAACTGAGGTTATAGCTAGAGCTGAAATAGTGTATCCTGTTTTTTGTAGTACAGCAGTAGTAGTAGTAACAATAATAATGTCCATCTCAACAGCATTATTATTTTTAATAATCCAGTATTTGCACACAGCTATAGTGCTGTGGTGCAGTGTCATACTAGGAGTGTCAAGATCCAGATCTAAATCCCCACTTTGCCATGAAGCTTACTGTGTGTGAGCCTGAGCTAGTCATTGCAAACCTAACCTAACTCATGGAACTGATGTGAAGATAAAATGAGCAGTCATGTACACCGCCTTGAGCTCCTTTGAAGAAAGACTGTGTATAAATGTCAGAAATACAATAACACTGCCCGTTCCCAACTCCCCAGAGGTCCATGGTTCAATTGCCATTTTAGTAAAGCTATCAGAACTATTTGCTTTGTGTCACAATCAACTGATAAACAATTGGAATAATAGAATTGTAGAGTTGGAAGGAATCCTGAGGATCATCTAGTCCAAACCCCTGCAATGCAGGGGTGTGCAGCTGTCCCATACGGGGATCAAACCTGCAACCTTGGCGGTATCAGCACCAAGCTCAAACCAGCTGAGCTACCCAGGCTGAGAGACATGAGACACATATGGTAGCATGAAGCTGCTGTTGTCATTGATAAGTAAATTTATATACCACTTAATGCCAAATAGGCTTCTTAGTAGTTTGTATAAAAATCAGTTGTTCAAGTATTAAAATATGTATAAGCATTCAAAATTAAAATACACAATAAAACGATATAATTGAAACATTAAAATAAAAACATCCATAACTGAAATGCGCAATGAAACAATTCCATCTGGTCGCAAGATCAAAGACATGCCTCTGTAAACAGTTGTGTCTTTAATATATGCACCATGATCCTTTATGGCACAATCCAGTGCATGTCTGCTCAGAAGTTAGCTCCAATGGGACTGCCAGGTAAGAGTGTAAAGTAGGATTACAGCCTTGGGCACCTAATCCCAAATAATTCAGCAATTAGTGGTGTCAAAAGTTTATATTTACAGTTTCTCTTGCTGCTATTTCTGGTAGAGACCAAGGAATGAATAACATTTAGTCCTTAAACCATAGCTCCACCCAGAAGTGGCTTAACTCCATATAATAGAATGAGATGGTAATACTCATCAAAAGAGCATAAGTGTATGAAACTTGCAACCAGGAGCCACCTAGACTCTGGATGGTAACAAAGCATTGTCTTGGGGATTACCACCTTGCCCTATTCATCTGCATTTAGTTGGGTGGGCCTCATTCTTTTCCTCTGCAACACCAGTACAGAGCATAGCGTAAAACAGTGTTTCAAACTCAAATTGCTAGCTAAGCTATTATTACTGCAAATTCAGATCCTTGTTTTACAGTTTATGACCACTTTTGATTTGTTTTGGGAACTGACTATTGTGGCATAGAGATCATGGTAAGAGGATAAAGGTGTATAATATTGATGAATTCCTCACTACATATTGTAGTTGAAGTCTTAAGTATCACACTTATATGGTACTGTGATAAATATTATTAATGCTTAAAGACAGTGGCTCAAAAGGTTTTTCTAGATGAATCAATCTCTATGATTAAAGATTTTCTGATTGCATTATATGCCTGCTGTATTGTATAAAAACCCGTTAGATCTCTCAGATGACTTAGCGTTCACCTCTGCTATTGGTCTTTTTAAACAATTTGATTTTATCTGCCTAGATACGAGCCAAAAATTGCAGCTATAACTCTCCGTTTGAGAGTTGGAATAGATGCAAAGTCCCTCTAGTCCTACTCAGAAAGTTTCCTCTTTTTTCATTTTAATGAGGCTGCATATGTGGAAAAGGTTAACCAAATGCATGACATTCTTGCTGGCTCGTGGGAGGGCACACAGCCAGCAACCTCTTGCAATATGATTAAGCCCACAGGTGAGCATTCCCCCCACTGAGGGACAATAACAGTTTCAGTGCCATAAATGATAATCGTAAAATAAATACTTGCTGTGAGTTCATCCTGCTTGAATAACATTTAAATCTCTGTATTGCACCACAAAGCTTAGAAATAATATGGGTCGTCGTTCAGAGCAGTAAAACCTTGAACCTGGGTCAGACCCCTTTTTTAAAAAAACAAAACCCTGCAAACATTGCGGCGGCCAACTTCTGCAAAAATATTTTTGTCTTCTGTGTTTTTTGCTGCCGTTGAGTATGGGATAAAACAGACCTCTTACCCTGTTACAATTTCGAAGGGTGGCAGTTCCTCCAGCTCCTGTGGCTTTTCGGCCTCCTCTGCATTCTCTGCGTTTTCTGCGTTCTCTGCGTTCTCTGCATTTTCAGCCTTTTCGCCATTCTGGGAGGCTTGCGGCTGCTCCTGCTTCTCAGCCATCCTGTTGCAGTGGATGTCCAAAGGCTACAGCAGGGCCAAGAGCTGTGCTTAGGCTTCAGATGCAGAAATGTGACAGGAGGTGGTGGTGGGGAGAGCTGGAAGTTCCAGCCCTAGACACAGTTGTCAGGAGCTATATATGGAATGGCAGCAACGACAGGGTTGGGTGCAGGCTAGGATGACTCCAGCACTCTCGGATGTCACCTCTTCACTTTCACTCTGGCTGTGGCCTCTCCCTTGCCTCCCTTTTATATTTTAAGTATGAAGTGACGAGTTCAGTGTGGGCGGATGATGGATGGAAAATCCTGAATGCAGAAGTAACCTATTTATCCACAGCCATGACGGAAAACTGGCTTCAAGCAAGGCTGGTCACTGACCAGTGTCCCTGGACAGTACGCCCTCCTCCTGCCCTTGAGGGACCACCGTTCCAGACTAGACAGGAGGAGGAAGGCACAATGCCATTGTTAGCTTTTTAAAAAAATGGACTGGTTGTTGAGCCAAAGATCGATGGGGCCTTTTGTTGAAACCTTTACATACATATGAAAATTGTATCTCTTAAAATGCCTGTTTTCATAGGGCAGGGATGTGGCCTTCCATACATTATTGGACTGCAACTCCCATTAGCCCAAGGCAGCACGGCCAGTAGTGAGGAATGAAGGGAGACGTGACCCTACAGATGCTGTTAAAGTAAGCTACCTCTGTTGCTCGGTCCCAGCGCCTGCCACCTAGCAGTTCGAAAGCACCCCCGGGTGCAAGTAGATAAATAGGGACCGCTTACTAGCGGGAAGGTAAATGGCGTTTCCGTGTGTGGCTCTGGCTCGCCAGAGTAGCTTCGTCACGCTGGCCACGTGACCCGGAAGTGTCTGCGGACAGCGCTGGCCCCCGGCCTATAGAGTGAGATGGGCGCACAACCCTAGAGTCTGTCAAGACTGGCCCGTACGGGCAGGGGTACCTTTACCTTTACCTTACTTACCTCTGCCCTAGGGAATATACTGAAAAACAGACTGAAAGTTGTTTGGAATCAGCACCACATACCAAAAGTATGTTGGGGGAGATGTTCTGCTAGCGCAAAATAATCTGAATGATTGAAGTTGTTCTCAAACCTGAGAGTAAACCCATTGTACAGGGTCTGCCTTTTGTTGAGGAGCTATGAAGTTTCCAATACACTGGAATATGATAGCATTAGTTAATAAGGAATATATAGGAGAAGTATTATGTCTTTTAGGTGGCTGCTTTTTCTTCTCCACAGTCAGTCTATCTGGAGATGTTTTGCTCAGGTGGAATTGCAGTGAGAGGACTAGGACCAATACTGCCGTGGTGCAATTTGATATTTAAAAAATGAATGTAGATTGGGGCAAAGGGAAATGATACTGATGATGATGAGTTGAGAATAGGAGCCTGCTTGAGGCAGGGAATACGCAGCTGGCTTTGAACAAGTATAAAAATGGCTAATTTTTTTGAACCCAGTGGTTTTGGGTCCAGATCAGGAGGAAGTGATGTGAAATGTGCAGATTTTGCCTATTGGAGCTCAGTAAGCTGTACATGCATTCTGAAAAAATATATAGCTTGCCTACAAGCTAGTTTGACCTGCAAAAGTTTGGGGTGTCTGCATTGCTCTGCCCTGAGCTATCCAAAACTTCCTGAGGATGGAGATTGCCTTGAATACCTTTCATTTAGAATTTAGACTATAAAGATTGAAAAATTCCAACATACATTTTTATAATAACACATGCAAGACAATATTTGAAATAAGTTCATGCTGGATTTTATTTAACAGTTAACTATACGTTTTGCTCTCTTACATTTTTATTTCTCCCTACCCCCCAGTATGTTTTGTTGGGAACCACACAGCAGCTCCCCAGTGTCCAAAACCCTTTTCAACTCTCCAGTGTTTGACAAATGTCCTTCAACAAATCAAGTTTTCCTGTACAGTATAAGTATTTGAGAATATGTATTCCTCACATTAACACTTCACAATTTATGAACATAGTACGAAAAGTGGAATTATCAACAGGGAGCAGCTTTGCACTAGCAGAAAGCATTTCTGCTCTTGCAAGGCTAGGCATTCTGTTTTCACTGACCTGTCCCTATCTACTGCAGCCACTTCTCTCCCTGCTCCAAGCTGCTCCTGAGAGGTGGGGGACCCTCCAGAACAATATGTATCATGATGCAGAGTGTTGCAGAGGATCGGAGGATTTGTGAAAATTGGGTGGATGCACAGAAGTGCTTTCTGCTTGGACAAAGCAGTCAAAGGCATTATTGGACATATGATATAGAACACAGCATCTTTAGAGATTTTTGCTGCTTTAAAAAGTTGAGCTGCTTCTTTAAGAACAACAAAACTCCATTCATACCTATATGAGATTTCCGCCCATTCCTTTTAACTGTTTTTAAAAAGACTACTTACACAGAAACTTACACACCAATTGGTCTGTGGCATAAGCAGCAGTGATTTCATTGGGCCTCTGTAGCAAGCAGACGTTGTGCACCTGACAACTGCCTCTTGGACTGGGTTTTATTATAAAAATGAGACAGAGACAACAGGGGCTATAATGCAATCTATGATCAGCTTTTTCAATGGTATGGAATACTTTCCATAGAAAGCATATTGTTTTTCTCCCCTCCCTGGTTACTATGCACCCCAGACCAATCACTGTCACCTTTGACATTTTAGGGAGGAATTGTGGGGATGGGAATCCTGAGCTGATGAGTGATAACTCTTCCATACCCCTTCTCGTGTCCCTCTGACCCACTTTATTTTTGGAAGCTCTTGACTGCTGGATTAATCAGGGTCCCATCATTCTTGCCGCTTTAACTTTCACTGGAGCCAGCCAAGCTGCACGAATCAATGCTGAGCTTTAATCTAATCTTTGGAATGTGGTGCTGGGATTGTGGCTCCATCTCTTTCCCAGCTGCTGCTGAACTCCTTCTAGGGCAGTACTCTGCCTCTGTGCAGGCAGACACTGCACAGGAAGACAACCGAAATTGTGCAGTGCGCAGAGCACACAGTGGTGGTATGCTTTGGATTTGGTGTAGAAATCCTCGTTGTGTTTGGTTCATTTATTTGAGTATGCATCAGTGATGAACTGAAAAAACAACAACTGCAAAACAGAAGGATGCCTCTGCAATACCTTTATCATTCCATGAAGGCAGTCCAGGCGATGGGCATATGACATGTAGTTAACAGGAGGCTATGCTATGGACATGTTTCAAACTAGAATCTTCCTCGTGGAGATTTTACGTCATAAACACGAACAACACTATAGATCAGAGCATTGGAGGAATCTCAAAAGTTATCTAGTTCAACCCCCTACGAATGCAGGGAATCCACTACTACAGCATCCCTGAAATGTTGCCCTGCAACCTCTGCTCAGGAACCTCTAATGAATGAGGCATTGCATTGTGAATCCAACTAATTTACATTTCAGTCAGCTGTTATAGAAAACAAACGAACAATTAAAAAAAAAAAGTATCCATTTCTGAAACAATTTTCAAAATAAATTTAAGCCTTATGTTTTTATGTTGCAATATTGCTTATCCTGACAAAATACTGCTTTACTTTACTGTATTATACAAAGGTTGTGTTTGCACTCCCATTTGCTGTGCACTCACTGCGTTCACATGAAGTTCTCCAAATGCACATGTATCCTGTACTTCCCTATAAAATGCTACTATTTGATGCATTGCCAGCTTCTCACAGATTGGAGTCCTTGAGCTGTTCCTTAAACTGACATTGCTGCCTCCTCCGTGTGTACAGAAACAGAACTAATCTGACCAGTGCTTTTTTTCTGACACTACTGAAGTAGAGCTGGTGTAGCAATTGTAATGCACTGTGCTAGACACTGTATGTTTAAAAATTGTGTTTGTACTGTATTGCTTCTTTCATTCATTTTATTGTATTTTATTGTATTGCAATTTGCATTCCACAGGATTCAGATTGTAACAGAATAAAATGCAACTTGAGAAATAAAAAGCAATACAGATACAGTTGGAGGTTGATATGAATATTGAATGCAGACATGCCGCAGACCACCTGAATGAAGCTCAATTTGGGAACCCCTGCTGTACAACTTCATGGCTTGTTGGTCGCAGTTTGCAATTAATCTTAACTGTGTCTGCTGTAGATAAGGCTACTTTAAAAATCACTGTCTTATTAGTGTCTTGCAGCAGTCCAAACTCTCCCCAGCTCTGCCTGCTGGCAGGGTTTCTAAAAACCACAAGTACAAGTCTAATATTCTCCGGTGGTCTGTTTATAAGAGTTGCCCTTTTGTCAATGTGTGTGTTTATATCCTCTGCTCATCTGGGTCTACCCCCTAGGATATTTTCTAATTATAAAGGTGCCTACAGAGGACAGCGCCTTGCAATCCAGGCTCAGGAAATATTTATTTGGCCAGAAGCAAAGATGAAATAAGACACTGTCTGTATTGGACAGGGTTGGGATGTGCTCTTTAGAATAAAAAGGACAGCTTGTTATCAAAACAAAACGGATCCCTGGATACGTTGTTGGGCAGTGATTCCTCTGCTCCCCTCCTGTAACTACTGCAAGACAAATAAACAATAAACAAGCACACTTAGTAGCAGTAGCAACCAGAGGGTATCTTCCTTTGCAGCAGCCCACCCACCCAGTCTGCTTATTTTCCAGTGATTTCAGGGACAGATTGGCATGCTTTTATACCTCTGTACAGATTTGCTACATGCTATAGAACCATACCCAGGACTACAACAATACGGAGAAGCAATCAGGAGAGCAATGCTGGCACTCTTGTCTCAGGCTGACTTGGATTGTCTTAATTAGTAGGTATCAGTTAATTTTTCTGTGGCACATCAAAGCTACCGCTTATGAGCACCCTTGTTAAATACTTAGAAGGCAAACAAAAGTGTTAATCTAGTGGAATCTACCACTATGTATATTCTTCAACATCCTGATGACTAGGTATTATTTTACAGAGAGGAAAAAGCACACACAACCTGTTAGCCCTTCAAAGAGCTTAGAGAGCTGTGACATTGACATTCGCTTATGCTAGTCCATGAAAAATAAGACTGGGAAATAGCAGTTTAAGGAATGCTGGCATTCATCATTCTTTCCATTTCTGCTTGACCTTAGACCACTGTAGCCAAAGGACATTGAATATTGCAAATAAAAGGAGCCCCATGGGGTGTTGTATATCTTAGATGTAACCACCCTGAGATCTATGGGTATAGAGTGATATATAAATTTAATAAA